TTCAAATTCTGTTAGTTGTTACTCTTATCTTTAATAACATTTCTTTTTTTTTTGAGGATTTATTATTGACGTATCGTGACAATTCTAATTATTTTATATCGTTTAAAACATAATTTGCCATAGGCACTTTCTCTTTCTACCACTATGTTGTTTGAGCACCCCTCATTTGACAAATTATTATTTCTTTATTAAAAAAACTAAACTGTTTTAATCATAAAAGCTTTTTTGTACATTATGGTAGAAAGAAATAATGTACATTTACAGTGAGAATAAATAACTATAACAACTTATTTTTGCACTGTCACTACTTTTGTTAATATAAACACCGGACTGTAATTCCTATATACCAACCACCGCACCGTGGAAGTTGCTGTGCTAATAATGATTAAGTTGAAAACCGATCGAGTGTTTATATTAATAAAAGTAGCGACAGTAAAGGATACGTTGTTAATTTACTTACCTATTCTCCCTAATATGAAATTAGTGAAAGCCAGACAAGATAAAAAGTTCCTCAAAATTTATTTATTTATAGTTTTTAAGATATTAAAAATTATTTGAACGAGTGTTATTTATTCATAATGCAAATTTATGAATATTCGTTTATTTATTTTTAGCAATATATCTTCTTTGTATTAAGGTAGAAAATAATTCATCATATTCTATATTGGTTTAAACAAATTTGAAAAGTTACGTTTCATGAACGATCTATTAAATTAAGGAAAATACCAGAAACAAAAATCCCCACTGTTTATTTAGTAGCTTTCAATAAAATGTGTAATTTATAAAAGCGTATAATATGTTGTTGAGAACTAATAAATTCAAAATCGCAATCTACGTCTGGTAATCTTAATAAATTGTTGATCAAGAACCTAATATTCTTTAGTAATAATAAATAATTAATGGAATGTTGTGGGATTTAGGATAGAGAGTATAGCCCTCTTACTACGCCTAATGGTCTTCCAAATATACTTACAAAAAATTCGGACAAACTTGATGCAGTTACTCCAAACAGAATTGCAAGAAGCCTTGTAATGGACGAAACGCCCAGAACTCCTACACCATTCAAAAAAGCTTTAGCAGATCTCGAAAAGAAATCAGGTCCTTTGAAAGCTATACCAGACACTCCAACTCGTCTTGAAGATATTACTGAGATTGTAAAGAAAGAACAAGATGGGCTGCACTGTTCTGATGCATCCGACAGTGGCATTATGATAACGGTTAGTATTTTTGATTCTAGAATAATAATTATGTAATTAATTAAACCTACTTTACTTTATGAAATTTCATTACAAAATTACATAGATTAATATACTTTAGCTAGAAACTCGTAAGTGAGAATGACACTTTGGTGTCGAAACACGTTTTATGTTTCTAAACGTTTCTATGTGTAATTTTGGATTTTACAGTAAAAAAACGATGTTGTCTTCGTAAGCAATTAAGTAGATGTTATGCAATGACATCAAATACAGTGCAGTATATAAAGGAATAGATCTAAACAATAACGTAACAGTTAAGTTTTTTGTCACCATCAGTTTAGTCATGTTATCGTTTGAATGCTGACACAAATTAAAACAGATGTTTTAAATAAATGTTAATACAACTGAATATAACACAATTCATTATGCAAATAGTAATTGCATTAATTCTCTGATAATGTTCAGATTGTTAGGCGCTTATTTAAGTAGTAAAGTAAGTAAAAAAACAATTTTTTGATTTTTCAGAGCGATAGTAATTATCACAGTAAAAGAAAAAATGGCCCTATATTAGCAGCGGGAAAAGAAAACATACTTCCAAACAAACGAGTACGTAAAGCTTTGGCTTGGAGTTCAACTACCACTCAAATAAATTCCTCGGATATCTCCTTCGCTGTAGAAACCCCTGTAAGTTCTTGTATTGGCAACAAAAAATAATCAATTCGAACTTCAAAGACAAATAAAAATTAACATTACTTCAATATTTCAGAGTAAATCGTTGGGTGAAGATAGCTTGTTTTCGACGCCCTCGTCAATAATGAAAGAAACTCTGGGTGTTGCTGGTTTGCTGGAGTTGACTCACAGTGCTTCAACTAAGGTACAAGAGTGGTATCATTTCGGCGAACGTATATTACCTCCTTAATGTGTCCTATCCGACTCTTTTTAACCTGACTCCTTCGCAAGGTTTACTTGTATTTTTTATTTTATTTGCATTTGTTTTGCACCGAAATTTATATAATGATTTGTTACATTATTTTTTTAGTTTTCTATGTTATTTTGCGGTTTTTGTTTTAAAGTTAGTTTGTTCATGTNGGATCATTATTGTACCTGAAGTTGGCTACCTATTAAAAAATTGTGATCTGTATTAAAAAAAAATGATAATTACAATAATTGTAATGCTATAATACATAATAGTATTAGGCCGTAGAATATGTTAGTATATCAAAATTAAGTTAACGTGTATATTTATACGTATAGAGATAGTAATCAGGGAATTAAGCTCTTTAGAAGCCGAATATGTAGCATTATCAGAAGCAGCCAAAGAATTTGCTGTCTGATCTAGGTTTTACATACATTTTTTCATTCACGAAGACCATCAGTCCTGTATTCAGTTGATGACTACTAAACGGTAGCATAAAAAACATAAATATATAGATGTTAGATTTAATTTCATTAATAACTTAGTTGCTAATAAAATAATTAAGGTTGAATATTTATCTACAAATGTTCAAACTATTGACTAAGGGTCTTGCTAGAAATGTGTTTATAATACTTGAATTTAACTGAAAGTTAAATGTTAAGGGAGTTATTACGTTGAGTAAGGGTATTGTAAGAACCAATATATTAGTTTCCTTTGTATTATTCTTTTACCTATGGTTAAAGTAGTTAGAAGTATGATAGTTCTTAGAGAAATAACTTGTGTCAAGGAACTGAAGTTTGAATGAAAAATTACGAGTAATAATTTCACTTATTATTTCATATTCTGGCAACTCTGTTTAAGTTATTACAGTAATAAAACGAATAAACTAAAGATTTAAATCAAACCTTGTTATGCGGTTGTGATCAACTTTCTTTACCAACAAGGTTATGGTTGTCCTAGGTGGCTACTGTTACTATCACAGGTGAACTAATATCTTTCGCCGATTATTCGGCTATTATTGCAAAGGAAGATACAGGTCTCAATAAAAGCTGAAAATAATATAAATCGAATTGCACAATAGTTAACGGGCAATTTTTAGAGTCTAAATACTCAAAAACAAATTAAGCCACTTGTGGGAGCTATAAAGATAGAGTAGAAAACAATGAAGACGTTTTTATAAATTCAAATTTGAAATGGAATACCTGCACCCTCGAAAAACAATGGTGATGCTCCAGCAGGAAATCGCTTCTTGACATAATTTCTGCCCTTTTCATTCGGGAGCACATAATTATTTGTTTATAAAACAAACGATATCGTGCTGCGTCCCCCAACAAACTTTGAAGATGCTCCAAGTTGGGTTAGGTTATCTTCTGTATAGCTTTTTTGCTAGTAAACGAAATAATAATAATGTTGCATCAAGTGACCAATGATCGTGTAATTTATACAAATTTATAAAAGTTCCATATAAAGCAATTTCAGAGTAGTATAATATACGTATAATCCCATTGATTAACAATAATTGTATGTTTCAGGATAACAGGTTGAAAGAGTTAGTTGATGAATATCGAGAGAGATGGGAATTAATAGCACAACATTTTCCTGACAGATCTGATGTACAGTGTCAACAAAGATGGACGAAAGTCGTCAATCCAGAATTAGTTAAGGGTCCTTGGACCAAAGAAGTAAGTACAATGGTGGATTAGCATTGAACAGATAGAACTAATATAGGCAGTCTATAGGCTTTTTTTTGATACCTGAATCACGGAAAAGCGAAGTTAGTGCAGCGAAACTTATTTTTTTTATCAACTTTTTAATAAAAGAGTGGATAAAAAAATTCGTGTGACTAACCTCACCTTACGGGTGAATCATAATTTATTTTGTTGTACTATTTGTACCTCATGTTATTTGAAAATATTCCAAGTGTTTATCAAATATTGCGCGTAAATTTATACAAGTTCAATAAAATTCAAATTTATGTTCTATTCAAGGCAATATGTTTAAATTGAATTTAAATTATTCGCATATTTTGTTGATGTATTCTGTTAGACAATGTTTTATTACACATTGTAAAGGATATTGCTTGGAATTACAATTTTTTCCTTTGCTTCTCTCATTTCATTTTTGTTCACATATGAGCAACCGTGCGTAGAAGTGGTGGTTGATGTTGTAGCGAAGAACCCTTCTGTTTCATTGACCTAATCGCTTCCCAGGTATTTTTAGAAAACATGTATGCACAGCGTTAATAATCGAGGGTAATGCCCCTACCTTACCCTTTGTCCATCTATGTTTTTTACTACCGTATACATACATACATAAATAAATACCTTACATTTCGTTCATCCATTATTTCAAATTACTACCATTTTGTCCAAGATTAAAACTCCAAAAAAAAAAATACATACGAAGTGCTGTATTGAGTAGATAAAAGTAAGTTAATTGTCTTTTTTAGGAAGATGAAAAAGTTGTAGAGCTTGTTAAAAAATACGGCCCTAAAAAGTGGACTCTTATTGCCAGACATTTAAAAGGAAGAATAGGAAAACAGTGCCGCGAGAGATGGCACAATCATTTAAATCCAAACATAAAAAAGACAGCCTGGACAGAACACGAAGATAACGTTATTTATCAAGCACATAAAGAATGGGGCAATCAGTGGGCAAAAATAGCAAAGCTTCTTCCTGGAAGGTAATCCCTTTACGTACATATTTACTGCTTGTAGATTAGTTTTCGTTACTTGTTCATCAGCATTGTCAACTGGTTGGATTCGCACCTCCACTCTCCTCTCCTGAGTTAATTTTCGCATTTCCCTGAAACAAGAACATCCCACATCCATGACTATTTGTGAACAAATATGTCTCCAGCAAGCTCTTCATACCTTATATTCTTGTAAAATATTAAAATCCAACAACACATATAGTTAAAAACTGCATAGAAAGACAGCACGATGTATAAATAAAATAATAAATTATTATAGCAATTAAAACCCCGTGGCGGCATTAAAGGACAACGTTACAATACGATAAAGGCAAAAACGTGATAAAACTTTCTTCTTTACGTTACTGCTCAATTTCTGTAACTACTCGTTGTTCTTTATACAAACTATATATCACTCTTCCTATCACTGATGTCATCCTTACATTTTTTAAGTATATTTAACATTTTGTCCCATGTAACATTATCGAAAGCATTTTCTAGATCTACGCGCTCATTATTTTTTCTATCGTTTTCTCTATTATTACCTGTAAAACTAAAATGTCCTCTTGGATTCCTCTAAACCTAAATTGGTCTTCCCCTAATAGTTCTTCCGCCCTCTTTGCCATCCTTCTCTGAAAGATTCTAGTTAAAAAAAGTTAAATACCTAGATAACTGAAAAACGTAATCTTATTTTCTGTTTTGACGAAATTTCTTCTAGACATGATCCTGTCCTTGATTCTTTCAGTTCAGTTATAACTTACTTTTAGAACTGATAATGCTATAAAAAATCATTGGAATTCTACAATGAGAAGGAAATATGAAGCTGAACTAAATGATAAAGAGATTAGAAAACTAAGGGGAAAAAAATCGAACAGTAGACCAATAATGATCCTAACAGAAGCATCAACCGATACTCATTGTTTAAAAGAAAATGTACCCTTATCAACATATGCAGATGTAAGTATATTAATTTCTCGCAATTTTCCAAAAATCGTTAATTATTTCTTTTATTTGACAATATCATGTAATAATGGTTTTCTTGTTTTCCACAGGAATGGAGTGAATTTTACGATCAAACAAGTCAGTCAAGCGGCGGAGGCTTCTCAGTTAACGCAACTTCTAGTCCTAGCCCCCTTACGCCTTCTGTTACACCCACTCTCATACATTCATATGAAAGGCAAACTTCTCCTTCGCCTGCTCTTCCGAATCAATCAAACAAAGAATTTTCACCATTTCAGTTTCTTAGTATATATGCTGGTCAGACAAGTCCTGTTAAATTGACACCTTTAAACGATGATTTAGGATTTGATGTTGCACCAATTAGTGGTCTAAAACATTCGGAGTTCAGTCGTCAATATATTGAAGCACGTAAGTGGATTTATGTAGTTCTGTGTGATAAGTGTGGTACAAGCCTGATGCTCGAATGCACGGTGGCAAAAACAGGCAGTTTTAAGTATTACTTTTGCAGCCCTCTGTCTTCAGTGTTTCTACCAGGGGTGTAGATTAAATATTTAGAAGCAGGGATCAGTTTACAAAATTAATTGAAAAAATTAACTTCTTCAGTTGGTTTTCTTGTTGTAGATTTTTAAAATTTACATAAAAAAGAAATAGGCGCAATAGTTTAGTTTAACATGTTGTTAGATAATGAACAAGTAATATACATACAAACAGAAGAACTAATTGTTGATGTCGGTGATACTGATAGTGATTTCGATGAGGAAAGTGAATGTGAAAACCAACTACAAAATCAACAAAAGCAGGTTTATCTTTTTTGTAGTTATTTGTCCATGTTATTTCCAAGTACGCTACTGTCTTATCTGTATTAATACGATAATTTACGCCTACTGAAAGCTTATTTGTAATTCGGTTCCGAGTGATTTACCCATATGGGTCATAAATGGACATGTACCTGCGCGATCGCTCGCCAGCTTCGTTTCTCGACCTGTATATTCTTTTATTTTTTTCAATAATAATTTTAGGCTAGGGAATTGTGGTTGCAATTACAAAAGCGGTAATGGCGATAATTTTTCATTAAGTCTAAGTTTCGCATAATTTTATAAAAAAAAATAAAATATAAAGTACATAATTTACATGGAGGGGAGAAATAACATAATATATAATCGTTAAAGTAGAAAATGCAGACTAATAAAAGAATAAATAAATCAAAAAAGTAAGCTAAAAAGGGACTGTCCCTAGGTCATCTCTTTTTAATTTATCTACATAACTTTTATGACATTTTTTTAATGTAAAATCTTAATATTTCAGTGTTTTGGTTTTGTACATTTGTTGTCGCTTAATTTTAGCTAGGTTTTAAAAACCGCTAAGATTATTGTTTAGAAAAAGGTTTCGATATCTGTGTACATTATTTATGAATAAGCATTACTGTATTCTAACATTTGCTACATTTAATGGGACGTTAAGTCGGAAATTTTAAAACCCAAATGAGTGTTAAACATTTCCATGATAATTTCTAGGTTTGGCGCCTTCTGTTCAAAGACAAACTACTACTGTACCTGTTATATCTAATTTTGCACCAACGAGAGCTACTACACCGCCTATTTTACGACGAGGCCCCAAATCTAGAAAGCGGAGGGACAGCCATAATGATTCATCAGAATATGTGTTGTCAGATGTAACAGCTAATACTAGTTCTAGTAGAAGCGAAGTAAGTTTAGCAGAATCTTACTGACATGCATTTTTCAACGCAAATTATATTTATAGGATATCGATGCAGTTCAATTAATAATAGACGAATCAAGACAATTGATTGAAAGCCCCGCAAAGAATGGTGCTACACCCATAAAACAGCTGCCATTTAGCCCATCGCAATTTCTTAATAGTCCTCATCTACCATTTGATGTAACACTAGCGTCTACGCCTGTTAAAAATAACCATGCTCACAAGAACGCGTTGGAGAAAGTAGGTGTTTATTATTTTATTTTTTTTTTAGTTGGTCTTAAATTAGCCGTTTTTACGGGAAAGGCATGTCTGTTTATACATTTACATTATTATTTTAAAGTTACCTACTGGAATCTGTCAATTAGGCATATGCTACCTGGTGGCAAAACTTGTATTAGAATAAGGGTCAAATTTACATAAGAATAGTGTACGTGTATCGTAAAATAATTTATTAACATTATGAAATGCGTCAAATACAATATTGCCTTAAATTGTACACTTCAAAAAAATGACAGGACTGTTAACAATGCCGATGACGGCTACTGCTTTTAGTGAGTAGTAGAAATCAATGAATAGGCGGAATTTTATCATTGCGAACACCAAGATTATAACCCACGAGATTGTAAACTACCTTTGTCAAAGAACGAAGAATTTGATCACACTATTTTAATGTGGATAATTATATTTTATCAAAAAAGTAGGTATTATACTTAACCTGTAATAACTTTATTCATAAATTGAATAATTATATTTATATACAATATAACTATGTATCGGTTATCGGAGTCTGTAATTGGGAATAGTCCTGCTAGGCCGATTGCTATTCTCTTTAATGACACTCCGGGGTTTTACTGTTGTATTCGTCCACTTACCAGCCTTCTAGGTCGCTCCTGCTTCCTGGTTAATAAAATCGCTCACGTATCTTCCGTAAGGTCTTCGTAACGCCTAAACGTCCTTCGCCATGGATTACTTCTAGGACTTCTCAAAGTCTGTTTTTTGGAAGTATCATTTTATGCCCGTTCGTGCCAATCGTTGGAACAGCAAAGCCATGAAATAACCACCAAGAAAGGTTACTTGGTTGAAGCAAGAAACGCATAAACAAAGGGTGATCTTGCTTGAAATTTTTGATAGTATTCCTACAATATATCG